TGTGAATGTTTGCTGAATCCACCACACCTAAATGGTGTGAAAGTTATCTTATTTATAATCAAATAAATTACAAGGATATGGAAATAGTAATAAATGGAAATAACAATAAATGGAAAGATATCTATAGTAATAAGGCAAATGTTAGATATTTGCCTTATAATAAAATATCAAATATAATATATATGGTAAACTATAATTTATTACTAAATATCCTTAACACCCCACCGCAAGCTAAGCGTCGGATTTAAACGAACGTGAAGCTTGAATCTGAAAAATTCAAAGAGGTTGAGAAACACTTTTCGTGAAGATGTTAACAACCTGGTTCAGAGGAGGCGTAGAGAAACACTTTCTTGGCCATCGAAAACTGCAGAGAGATCGCCGCTCAGCGGCGATGCTACCTTGGCTTCGGTGAGAATATGTCTAACCCATGAAGAGGGATTGTCGCTTAGCGACGATGCTGACTTGGCTCTGGTGAGAATATGTCTAACCCCAAGAAGTAGCAGGGGAAACCTAGAGCAAGGGACAAAGACAATGTTGAAGTCAGAAGAGTCGCCACATTGGGCGAATGAGCCAATTTTGGCGAGAAGGGCAGCTGGAAGAGTCGCCACATTGGGGCGAAGGAGCCAATTTTGGCGAGAAGGGCGGCGGCAACTTGGTTGGCGAAGATGCCAGTGCGGCGCCCAGATTCCAAAGGTAAATCTCTGCAGAAGGTCGATGGGCTTATTGAGATTCTGTATATTTTCGAAGAGGGATGCTGATGAAGATCCTAAGATTAGGGTTTTTGTGAAGGATGAATGATGAAGGGAAAAATTGGGAAGAAAATGAAAGAGGCTATGTTTGGAAAAGGTGAGGTTGTATGTACAGAGTATGGCGAAGGATGATTTGGAGGTCAAAAAGGTGGAGCCGAAGAATAATCAATCGACTCTGCATGTGACAGCCATGACAATTGCCCCTGCGGCATCAAAGACAACAGTAGTGGTGGAGAAGAACAGTAGAAGATTTCAAAAGCCATTGAAAAGAAAGGATCTAGGTTGCTAAACCAAAATGGCTATGATACCATGTGAATGTTTGCTGAATCCACCACACCTAAATGGTGTGAAAGTTATCTTATTTATAATCAAATAAATTACAAGGATATGGAAATAGTAATAAATGGAAATAACAATAAATGGAAAGATATCTATAGTAATAAGGCAAATGTTAGATATTTGCCTTATAATAAAATATCAAATATAATATATATGGTAAACTATAATTTATTACTAAATATCCTTAACATCGTCAATAGTACTCCTACAAAAAATGGCTCGGGACTGTTATCTATTGAAAATGTAGGGTCAATTTCATCGAATACGAACATTCTGCATAAAACAATTGGTCTTAACTCAGTTTTTTCTCATAATGTTTCAAACGCCTTAAATAGAGTGCTCACGTGTAATTTTAGATGGTAAGGTCTCGTGAACATAGCTATATTTGTTTGAAGGCATACATAGTGGGAGAGCACGGCGACAGCTCGGTGGCGCTATGGTCAAGCATAAGCGTGGGCGGAGTGCCAATACTGAGCTTTCTACAGAATCAACAAATCACCTACGAGAAGGAAACATTAGAGAGCATTCACAAAGAGGTCATAGGCGGGGCTTATGAAGTGATAAACTTGAAGGGCTACACATCGTGGGCGATCGGCTACTCGGTGGCAAGCCTCGCCCGGTCGCTCCTCCGTGACCAGCGGAGGATCCACCCTGTCTCTGTCCTTGCTAAAGGGTTCTACGGCATCAATGGAGGTGAGCTGTTCCTCAGCCTGCCCGCGCAGCTTGGTAGGGGCGGAGTATTGGGGATCACCAATGTGCATCTAACCGACGAGGAGTCGGGACGGCTGAGGGACTCAGCCAACACCATCTTGCAGGTGCAGACCCAGTTGGGGATCTGAAAATCCTTACACTTTCTATCCATAAATGATACATATAGTTGTTTTTTTATGTGTTTTTGAGAAGGGAGTGGGATTCATTATGTTTCCTTCTATTACCTCCATAGGATATATATTACAAATTATATATAAACTATATTTAAACGAGAGCACACGAGCGTGACTCTCCATTAGTCAATATATACCTTTTATTTTGAGTTTTAAAGTTCAAAT